GCATGAGCACCGTAATACAGAGGGATGTAACATATTTAGAAAGAGTGCAACGCCTAGCTACCCGAATGGTGGCTGGACAAAAGGGGAAAAGCTATGAGCAGCGGTTACGATTTCTAAGTCTCTTTTCGCTGGAGCGTAGAAGAGTGAGGGGAGATCTGATAGAGACTTAAAATTGTAANTGGAACTACTTGGCAGTCGAAACGCAGTGGGAACCATCAGCTCACAGGTGCAAGAACCTGGACGTCCCCTGGCGGAAGCCTTAAGTCCTGTGACCTGACGATATAGTCTATTCCTACAATCTCAGCCCTTATTTCTCTTCACTTGTTGTCAATGCAGCAGGCGCCCATGTAGAATGTTGATGATCCCCTACTCAGGCCTTTTCCTAATTTTGATGCCGTGTACGTCTAATGCGCACTCGGAGAATCCACCCGATTGTTCGCCTACACATAAAGTATTGTGTGCAGGCATGAGCACCGTAATACAGAGGGATGTAACATATTTAGAAAGAGTGCAACGCCTAGCTACCCGAATGGTGGCTGGACAAAAGGGGAAAAGCTATGAGCAGCGGTTACGATTTCTAAGTCTCTTTTCGCTGGAGCGTAGAAGAGTGAGGGGAGATCTGATAGAGACTTAAAATTGTAAGAGATCTATCGGGACTCAACCTAGATGACCTGTTTACGATTTCTCGTGCTCAATACACGAGAGGTCATGGCTATAAAAACTTCAACAAAACCAAGCCAGGTTGGAAGTACGGGCCAACTTCTTCGCACCAATGTTAACGCCTTCAAGGTGGCCCTGGACGCATGTTGGTCAGCAACGTTCCCCGAAGTCAGTATTTCGAGTGAGAACATCAAGAATAAATCCCACATTAGCCGGAATTTTGTGAAATGGAGTAAACCTGGGCTTGATTGTTGGAATTGTTCCCAAACTGACTGTCCTGTCACATGTGACCTGTACATACAAACGCATGTGTACTTGAAGTATCTACCCAATGAGGCGCGGAGATAGCCGTGATTGATTTCCTCCCTTTCAGCATACCTCCAAGGAAACGGGGCTAAATTGACAGGATCACAAATACCAAATCAACTGTACGCAGTGTTGGAAGCTACTCCAGTCCGCCGACATCACAACGAACTGGACGCTGGATTGGCAAGAGCCATATTCGTCTTGTGCAAACGGAACTGAACTGAACCCGAGTGCACCGTTCGCATTTTGTCAGGAACATACTCTTGGCCCTCGTTCGAGGAGTTGCGGGTGATGACGTTGCATGCACTACGAGTCATCGTGGCCCATAGTTCCTTTCCGGTGTCAGATTGAGTTGCTACGGCTAAGCTTTGGCATTCAGACCTGACCTGTCGACCATTTGTGGTCTTAGTTAACTGATGCTGGAGTGATCTCTGGGATACCTGTGGTTTACTGTTAACTGTGGGCATAATTGTAGCTGTACCAACTGGTACAGCTAGGTCTGGACCTTGGAGTGGATGTAGTATGAAGGGGAACTTACGATATTCCCGGATGCTGCATTTTGCATGGGTTTAACCGCAGTAACACTTGCCGTGCGCCCAGATCCCATAAAACCGACACACTATTCCACTTCTATTAAGTGGAACAATGCGATACTTACAAATGATGGCCACTTTTCCGACGATTACAATGCACATTCACAAGAAACGTCGAAGAAACGAGAGGAATTGCTCCCCCAAGTCACCGCGGATAATCTTTCTAGTCAGCAGAATGTCCCCACGAATACGTCTGTAACTCTCCATGTATGAGTCCGTGCTGAAGAGTCACTGTTTGTAAGTCTGTGTCCGCAGACCCGCAACAAGCCGGGTAGCTGCTCTCTACACACGTCCGATTTTCGCCATCTCTCCCTTTGTAATGAAAAAAGCCATCGCTCCCCCACACTCCAGACGAGGACTGATCGCCGTAGCATACAGGAGTTTGAAGGCCTGTTTCGATGCGGCCCGAAAGATCGGCGAATTGCTCCAAGTATACTCAAGACGGAAAAATATACCATGGACTGTTCCAGTCAAGCACGAAGTTCTCGCACAAGAAAGGCCATCGACTTACATGGAAACCGCCAACCTCTTCACTGCGCTGGACCCAAATCGACCACATCGCCATCAGTTACC